GAGATAAATGCACACCATAATTTTAGAAACTTGAAACGTTTCTCACACAACAAAAGACAAATTGGCGAAAAATTAACTCTTTTCCACAAAGTTTATTTTAAAAAAATGTAGGCTGTCGTAACAGAAGCAGTGTCAGAACAAATTACGCTACCTTCTTAAAAAACATTTGTCATTTAGCGTATCAAAGCCTGACTGAGAAGTTCTTACGTAACTGTCCAACCACAGTAACATTAATTTAGTCACTTCCTTTAGGAAACACCGTTACACAGCGCGTGTTATGGAGGACACCTTAAAGTGGTGACATTTCTAATAAAAAAACAAGCAGATGTTAACGCGCAGTCTCAAAGTGGGGTGAGGTTTTCCTATAAAGATTACATTATTTTTTCATTTTCTTCAGCATCTTCGTTTATAGCATTCTTTCAGACAAACGTTATTAAGTAACTGCAAAGAAATCCGGAACATAAAAAATCAGAATTTTCCAAATAATTTCAACAAAAAACTTCAGAAATAAATAATCAAGAACCAAGAATGACTCCACGGTAACTACTATGTATTCATCAGGAAGTTAGATCTCTGTACAATTCTGCTAAAAAATTGTGTTGTGACAGAAACAGTGCAACTTTTGTAACATCTTACTGCAACCAACAAATAATAACAACCCTTTCTAGCAAAATAGTTCCTTTGAAAAGTTTCTTCGTGATAAATGCATATTCCTGCCAAGAATCAGACTTCCCAAGTTGTGAGGTTGTTATTAACGGGATAACGAGAGGTTGAAATCAAGAAGAAGGTTAGGGTCGGTGCCTCTAAACACTGATGAATGATATACTCAATTTCAATGTGAACAGTTGAAAGGACTGAACTTCCATAACTCAAGCGGTACAGCGATATGGAAAAAACTAACTTTAGTAAATGACATCCTTTCTAATGGTAACAATTATTCGTGAAGCAAAAGGCGTGGAGAATATTAGGCAGAGATTTGCAGCCATTGCATTTGTACGTAGTGTGGCTTGGGGTGTCTCAGCTTTGCATCTGCTGCTAGCAAGGACAAGCAACTAGCTCCTCCTTCACGCTTCAAAGCATAGAAAACACTATGGGGAAGAAAGGATAAGATAAATGTAACAAATTGTACGTCGTTTTACATCCCGCTGGTGTATTTTGACACTCAAATCAAACTTTGGTACTGCGGGACAATTCAAATTCAGGACTACCAATTAAGCTGAACCGAATTAATCAGCTGTTTTGTGACATCGTATGGAGGCACTAATACACCTCGAAAAACCAGACAGACTTCTGCAGCTTGAAAGATACGGTTATTTAAAGGTTACTTGAAAAAAACAAGAGCCAAATGACATTGTGAAGCTTTTAAAAATGCAAAGAAAAATTTATTGTAGGCTAATTTTTTTACCTTTAGCGAACTGTAACCTCGACAGTGAAAGGAAATTGTAAATTTATAGTAGTCTCAAAAAAAGTTGTATTTCCAGGACACACCACTGCACAAGGCATCTGAGGGAAGACATTTTGAAGTTGTCAAAGCTCTGGTAGAAAACCGCGCAAATGTAAATATAAAGAACAATCATCAGGTAAAGTTCTGCCGTAAACGTTGCATAATCTTTCTTCCTTCTTTAATGCTTACTTTGACAGAGGTTCTTTGAATAATCCTCACTCATGACACAGGGTAACAAAACTATGCTTTTTCGTAAATTTTTAAATGTCACAAATAGCCAAAACTTTCAAAAAAAATGAGAAAAAAACTTTTTAGTGGGAAATGACCTTATTTTACTGCTAGTTCTTCGTTGTTCAGATTCAAAAACTTTTATCACACGATTTCCAAGAAAGTACGGCATTTTGAAAACGAAATTTTTGTTGAAATAAAAAGAACATAAAATGAAACACAGTACTGGTGAAGCTGTGAAGCTACAGAGAGTAATAGAGTATGACGTTTTATGAAAATTGTGAAAATATCTCTATGGGAGAAATCCTCAATCTTTTCAGGTGGTTTTACTGATAGATATAGCGATCTCAAACAATATCAATCTCTACAATAAATTGACGGAAGCAATTTTTGTTGGAAAAATTTTGTGTACAGCAATGTATAACTGTAAAATTCTGAAGAAAATGTGAAACTACAGCAGTCTCGGAACAACTTCATCACTTTTTTTCAGGACACACCGCTGCACAACGCATGCACTAAAGGGGCTTTTGAGATGATGAAATACTTGATAGAGAATGGAGCAGACGTTAGTGCGAAGGGCCAGTATGAGGTAAAATTTTGCCATGAACGCTAAACAACTTTTTCACTGTTCTTTGACGCTTAAGCTGGCCCGAGTGAACTGGACCGAACTAGTCAGCCATACTGCGATATCGTATAGGTGCATTATTACACCTTGAAAAGCCTGACCTAAGGATACAGTTATCTGGAGGTCATTTACGTAACGAAAGCCGGAAGACATTGTTTTGCCTTTGAAAAGCAAAGAAAAATTATTTTGAACAACTTTTTTTTCACGTGAAGAAGTAGCGAAATTATAGTGATCCCGGAAAATATTTTGCTTTCGGTGTTTTAGGATACTCCACTGCATAGGGCATGCGATGCGGGACAACTTCAAATGGTCGCATACTTGGTGGAGAAAGGAGCGGATGTAAATGAGAAGAATGCGTGGAAGGCAAAATTTTGTTGGAAAAATTTATTTCTCAATTTCTCGCTGTTTTATCTGATAGAATTATAACTGAAGTTTTTTAGCCGAGACGTACTGTATAACTCATATCAAAGACTGTTCCAAATCTTCAAAAAAAGTCAAAAAAATTTTTCTGTTTTACAAGTTAGTGGTATTTTCTCATGCGGTCTTCGCTAGTTGAATTCAAAGCAAATTGCTCTGCGCTTTCTGAAAGTAAGTACGGTTTTCTCAGATAGTTTTGATAGTGCAGAGTGGTCTTTGAAGACTAATTGGAAAAATTGAATTTTTTGGGGTAGAGGTTGAGAAAATTCAAAAAGCACTATTTGAAGTAAGCAGCGATTTTAAAAGCTTCACTGAAACAAAAAAAATTCGAGCCACAAATTTCTCTGATTCTTTTTAATGGCTTCCGTGCCACATTTGGCAGTTACTCGAGAAAACGAAACGTCAGAAGACGTAACTGTTCTATAGAAATGTACTGCGGTGAATTACAAAAAATTTCTGACAGTTATAGCAGAGCTTAGACTGAAGTAATTTCAAGTTTCAAGACTAATTATTTGTCTTGTTTAGAATACTCCATTACATTGCGCATCTCAGAGAGGGGACCTTGAAGTGGTAAAGTATTTAATGGATAAAGGGGCAAAGACCGACGAACAGAATTCATGGAAGGTAAATTACTATTGAAGTAACTTAATGGTTCATTCCTCAATCTCGAGCAAGTGACCTGGCAAAATTTTTCCAAGAAGTCGCTTTTTACAGACGCCGAAATACTGAGCAATTATAATTTTGCAGTTTTACAAATGCTGATTGTTGAAGAATTTTTCAAAAAAAGAAATAAGGTTTCTTTTGCAAAACTGTTATTTTTGAACAAATTTTCATTTTTCTGGTTTAAGTTTAACAATACCGCTCCATATTCTTCAGTGGCAGTGAAGATTTTGCAGCCAATTTTACACACACAGTAGTTTGCTATTTAAATTTCATGACCGAATCAAAAAAATATACAAGAAATTTGATAGAATGACAAAGAAGTGAACAGAAAAGTAAGCTCATTATAAAACTCTAAAATCGCAGTATAAAAACTTTATTGAAATTAAAGAACTTTGAGCAACAATATTTGTCGGTTTTTTCGATGACGTGGGCTCTAAATTTGCAATCAATGTATGGATGAAGAGCCAAGAAGTATAGCTATGCTATTAAAATGCATAAAACAATTTTGTCTAGAACAATTTTTTCTTTTTATAATAGATTACCCTTATGAAAGTCTGTATAAAAGATGAAACTATGACATTTTAAAGCGATTACTTTGATTTCTTTAGGCTACTCCATTGCACTGGGCGGCAGGTAGAGGAGACATTGAAGTTGTCAAATATTTTGTAGAAAATGGCGCAGATATCACTTTGAAAAATGATCACCAGGTAAACGTTTGTTTCGACAGTAACATAGCTTTTTCTATGCCCTTTCTCTTATCAAGATTTCTCTGCATCACTTAACCGATATTAGTGAGTGGCGTAACTTGGGGATGTTAAAATGAGGCAACTCTTCGAAGATCCAGAACAAGAATGATGCAAAAAACTTTTTAGATTTTTTATCAAACTAATCCTGTTTTATTGTTCAGCTTTTTTTCATCTGAGCTCTAGAGAATTTTTATGATGTTACTGTAAAGGAAAGACTGCTCTTTGCAATATATAGTAGTATAAAGAGCAACAGGAGAGGTTAAATGGATCGGTGACAGAGTCAACTAGCATTGTCAAACGTTTTGTGATATTTCTGCAGAAGTATGAAGAGTTTGTTAAAATTCTGAGTATCAAAAAGGCTTGACAGTTCTTGTATCCAAAGAAGCAATAATTTTCCAAAGCATCTTCTTATAAATTAACATAATCAATTCCTCTAAAAGAATTTTTTATGCTTATGACACACAATTATAAGATTCTGAGTGACTGGTAAAATTACTTCAATCTCTGAAAAATTCGTTTTTATTCTTAGGAGTCTCCGTTTTATAAAGCATCTGAATCAGGGCATCTTGAAGTTGTCATTTATTTGATGGAAAGGGGCGAGGAGGTGAATGCGAGAAACGATCATAACGTAAAGTTTTATTCCGGAAAGCACTCAGTTTTTCTTCGATTTTTAACTGTATTTGGTATCAGAACTGTTTTGCACAAATGCAGCTTGTAATTTTGTGCTGAACAGCATATCTGAAAAATTTTTTAAGGTTGTAGAAAGTGATAAAATATTTGAAAATGCAGAAAATCTTTTTTCATTTTTTTGAAAAATCGATGTCATTTTGTGTTTAAAGTTTTTTCGACTGAATTTTAAAAAATTTATCTCATAAACTTTAGAAGCAGTAAAAGTATCCTTAGTCATTTTATGGTAGTACATGTTTTTTTAAGTTTTTATGATAAAATGAAACTGAGGTTAGCAAATCATAATTTTTAAAAGAAATTTCTTTACAAACGACATGTCACTTTAAAAACTGAGGCAACTGCTAATTTACTATCTTTAGGATACACCGTTACATAAGGCTTCTGAAGGAGGGCATCTTGACGTGGTCAAGTATTTAATCCAGAAAGGAGCAGAAGTGAATGCGACGAATGACCTGAAGGTGAAATTTTGTTGCTGTATTTACAAAGCTTCTTATTCTTTCTAAATGTTTTACTTATTAACTACTTTTGCGTAATTTTTACTAAATAACTTAGAGAAACAGCACCATGTTTTTTTCGTAAAGTTTGAAAAATACAGCTTGTCAAAAACTTCAGGGGAAGTTCAAGAAACTTTCTCCAGTTTGTGTAAAACTTGAAAGCATTTTGTGGTTGAGTAAAATTTTGCTGTTCAGTCTTTGAAATTTAAACGGCATTAAAATTTCAAAAATTTTGTCATATAATTTCTAAGAAATCTGCAATTTTAAAAGTGCAAGAATATGAAATTATAGTGATTTTGGAACACCTTGATCACTGTCTTTAGGACACACCGCTGCATAAGGCTGCTAGCGGAGGTCGCCTTCAAGTGGCCAATTACTTAATAGAAAATGGGGCGGAGGTGAATTCGAAGAATGAAAAAGAGGTAAAATTGCACTGCAGACTTTGTTATGTTCTTTTCTTCCTTTTTTGACTTTCTCAATATTTTTCATGTAAGCAACGTTCAGAAAATGTTAGAAAGTGAAAGATATCTTCTTGTTTTAAACTGTTGAACAATATACATTGTTGATTAAATTGAAGAAAACATAAAATTTTTAAAACTTCTTATAAAGTTACTTCTATTTTGCTGTTTATATTCTTATTACTTAAACTCTAACTAGTTCATGTCATAAATCCTAAAAACCGTGAAGTTTAATTTTTGCAGTAAATAATAGCTGTTTTGTCCAAATAAGGGAAGCATATTAAAACTCAAGTATAGTGGCAAAGAAGTTAGCCAGTAAAGGTTTATAAGCTGTAGTAGTGTGACTTTTAAGAAAGCTTAGTGGAATTGTCAAAGCCAAAATTATTTTTTCTTTTTCTCTGTAAAACTGCTTGTGCCAAAAAAAAAAACACTTTTCCAAGCAGTAGCGCATGATTAGATTTCTAGAAAGAGTTTTTTGAAAGACAGTTTTAATAGGAATATTGTGGTGCAATGGTAAAATATTGTAAGAATTGGTTGATTGCAGAATTTTGAAGTAAATTGTTTCCTGTTTTTAGCTTACCCCGTTGCACCATGCATCTTTTTCGCGAAGCCTTTCAGTGATGCAGTGCTTGGTGGAACACGGAGCTGAGGTCGAAGCGAGGGATAATGAAGGGGTAATGTCTTATCGGATAAAATTTCCTTATTGTTTGACTTCTCTTTGCTCAGAGTTTTTCTGATGTTAGTTGCCTTCTAATTTTGTGTGTACTTTAAAAGTTCCTGACATTTACAAGCATCCTGGTTTTAAAAAAAAGCTAAAAGAATTTCTTGCTGCTTGCAAAACTGATGCTCCAGTTGGTGGGAGTTGTTGTGCATTTGGAACACCATGTTAATTGGTTACAATTTTCCAAATTTTTCAAAAGACACTGTTTTCTCATCATCACAACTTTCTGAATGAAGGGTATCGCAGCTGAAGTTGTGCAAGGTGAATCTACCCCCTTATCCTGTTGGTTTTCTTAGAGATCATACTTGAACTGCCTCACTAATAACCACTGCGATACGATATCAGTGTTAAGGTTAGAACTTTAGTTTTGGTTCTTAGGAGGACTCGGCTGAGAGAAGAACAGTGTGACCATCAGTTGCGTCTCCCTCCTTATAGGGTTTATTTGAACAATTTTAAAATTTTTTAAAAAATTAAATTGCCGCTGTAGTTTTAGTACAAAACCAAAAACACTTCTGTTATCTCACTAGCACAGGCTCTTAAGAATTTAAATTTTTTAGAATTATTTTTGGTGAACTTCTGTTGAGAATCAGTCTGGTGACGCTTTATTAGCCAGTCTTATTGAGCTATTCGTTCTAGTCTTCTCGTCAGGTAAAAACTCAGTTATGGGCGCTGGCAGTGTTTCCTAGAATTCATTAGCAAATACATTATTCAATGTATATCTCATGTCGTTAATTTGTGGCAAGGACATGTGGCTAAACTGAGGTGTTACCTTAATGGTACGGTTGCACTGTCATTTACTCTGCCATGCAGTGTACATGATTAATGAGTTTGCCTGGCAGCGTACCTTATATTTTCGCTCTTCTATAAAATAGCGTTGTGAGTATCCCAAAGATTTGAAAGTTTTTTTCATCTCTAGCTAACTAGGAAAAAAGGTATTGTTCAATTATATGTCATTTTTGACAGCAGAAACATCGCTGCATTAGTAAACAGAAAGCGGTGTACTTCAATTTCATACTACTTTCTACTCTTCTGTCTTTTTTTAGTGTGATTTGAACTTTAATGTTGGAGTACCAATGTAGGCGAAGAAAGTTTCTGACGCTTTTTTTTATTTCAGAAGACTGCTTTCGATCTTGCGAAGGAAAGGAAATTTGAAGAAATTTGCAATTTTCTGAGTTTTGCTCAGGAAAACGCCGGTAGTATCAATTTTGTTTGTTTAACTTTTATCTATTTTTGTCATTTTTGCAATGTAAGAGTAATTGTTTTTTTTGGAATAAAATAATATAATTTCATAACAAAATGTAATTGTTGTCGTAAAAAAACGTCTAAAATTATGGTTTTGTGCTGCAGATGACTTTTTTTTTGATGTTTTGAAAAGTCAAAAAACTTTATAAGACTACCTTTGGAACAGCTCTCAATTAAACGTTTGCTTGTGCGACAGAAATTGCCATCTTAAGTAAACTGTCGCTGAAGCCATCAGTCATTTTTTAAGGATTATAAGAAGTTATAAAGCATACTGCACGTTTGACCTGATTAGGTGGAAAGAGTTGCAAGTGAGCCTATCGATGTAATAGATAACCATAAATTCGTCTTAGAAATAATTTGTATTTTAATGTTGGAGTTCTAACGTTGGTGAAAAGTATGGCATAGATTGTCTGGAACTGAGGAATCTTGTAACAACTGTTGCTTGGATATCTGATTTTTAAAAATATCATTTCTTGACAGTTTAAATTCTGACGGTTAACCGTTTTTTGTATTTTTCTGTAGTCTTTAATATCTGCCATCAACTTTGAGAAACTGTTCTTAAACATTTTCTGAAGTTGCACGAACATACTTTGTCGCAAAAATCTTGCTCAGAGAACGATAGCTTAACCGGTCATACGTTGTAAAGGCTTTCTGTCAACAGTTACAAGTTTCAGGAAAAAAGAAGGCATAAGGAACGGCGAAGTTGTAGATAACTGCAATAAATGAAGATCAGCGATCTCTGTCAGTGAAAGATTGATAATAGTTTTTTTATTGGTTTTTAAACATTTAATTGTGGAAAATATTGCATCATTTGTGTCATAATTAGTGAGACTTTAATTTCGTTCATTTTCAGTATACTGTGCCCAACTTTTTTTTTTTAAAGTGCACTTTCAATACAAAGTCTATGTTTTTTAGTTTAGACTTTCTGTCTTTCAAATTTCCAAACGCCTGTTAAGAATATTCAGTCTAGAATAAAAGAGCACAATTAATAAGTCTCAGAAAAGTTTCTTTTTTTTTAATCTGCTTTTACCTGCGTGAATTGTGGAACTCTTGTTAACAGCTGTTTTTTGTTGTAAAAAACATTTTCTTGTACATTACTGTGTGCATTACAAATTATTTAACTTATGTAAAATGTACATTCATTCAATTTGCCAAAGTCTGTACCAATAGAACTTTGTTTTATCGAGCTTATATGGCAGAGATCCAAACAAAAAAAAACTAAAGAGCTAAGAAACAACTGAAACATTTTACCACAGATTTCAAAAGGCTTTCTGTACAGACCTTCAGCCTTTCATTCCATGAATTAAGCTCAAATATGTAGGTTATTTATCTCTAAAACTGGTGATTTTTTTTAGCTGTTTGAAATGAATTGTACTTGGAACTTTTCTTAAGATAAAGTTCTTTTCCATAAGTAATGCTTTGACAGTTAAAGTTTCTCATCAATGGTCAAATGGATGAGCCCAGAATTTTTCACTGATCATAAAGTAGACCTAATATGGCCTTAATGTAGCACATGATGATGGAAGATTGGTTGCTGTAAGACGATATATCAGAAAAGAAGTTTTCGGTAATTTTTTGTTTACGAACAATGTTATCAACCAAACCTGATTTGTCTTTCACTAGCTTTGAACTCAAATAAAAAGTGAAAACAAAATCCATTTGAGTTATACTGGTTTACGGCCGTGTTTCCCAACGTCTTCAGGTAAAAACACTGCAGTCTTCCTATCATCGTGTCAGGTTCTTTGTTTTTTAGATTTTCCCTGTCACATTATTATTCAAAGCTTTAGTTTTTTTGTTGATATGAAGCTGTTCCACAGTTTGTTTGATGAACTCTGAAACTAATCATGTTGTCCGTTTGAGTGTTTCTATATTTTCTTTCGAGGAGACTGATCTACATTGTGAAATCAGTACTGTTAAGGATTAGAAATTTTAACTATAGACAATGATGATATGCTGGTGGAATCCAAAACTGATTTTGACAAAATAGGGATATCGGTGAGTAATTAATGACAGTGTTTTAGCGGTATTTTGATTTTAGCACCAGTTGTTTCTGAGCAAAGTGCTATTTCCAAAATCCTTCAGTAAAATGTTTGTTTACTTCTGTTCAGTTCGGAAGAGATAACTTCAAAAGATGGGTATATATCGACAAAGCAGTGTACTAAGAGAATCGCAGAGAACACTTTGGCTTGACAAGTTTCTTGACAGAATTTTTAAACCTTATTGCATCTAAACTTTGGATTATTATTTGACGTGAAATATTTATGTCTTATCACAGCCTTTGAGCAATCATATCATTTCAGTTTTTCATAGAGATAGCGGGCATTCCACGATATTTTTAAAGTTGAAATTCGTTGACCATCAAAAAGAGAATTAGTTCTTGAGAATTTTACTTTTTTTTTCTTCAATCTTATTGCATGTTTCAATTTATCATCTTGAAAATTGGCTTGCAAGTTTGACGCTTTTTTTTGCTGACACTTTGGAATTAATAAATTAATCATTAATCCGCAGATGAATGATACACTTATTTTTCTGTTAAGATAAATGTTTAGAAGTTGGTCTTCCATCTTTTGGTTTCGACAATTTTGTCATCTTTTATAGTAAATTATGCATAAATTTTGTTAATTTGGATGTATGTAAAATAAATTTTTTTTTTTCGAATTTATGTCTTCTTCAACATCACTTAGCACCTTCAACAATTGAAGCAATTTGCAGTGTTCTTTGAACAATGCCCGATTATCTGTATTGACTGCATTATGGAATTGCAAATCTGAAATTTTTTTATCTTTTTAATGCTTTTTCTTTTAAACGATAATTTGTTTTGATAAATATTTGCATAGTTACCAAATATTTAAATTATTTCAAATTTACTTTTGAAAAATTCGCACAAATTTCACTTTTATAAACTATTAGTTTTTTTTTTCAATAGTTTTCTTTTATTGGAGAAATTTGACTAAAGCTGTTCTATAATCAAAACCTTTTTGGACAGTTTTTAAGAACATATTTTTTTTTTTGCCAGGAATGCTTATAAATATAATGTATTTTTTGACATATAATATTTTAGCCGCAAATTTTGCAATATTAGAAGACATTTACGTAATTTGATGTTTTCATATTTTACGTTAATGACAAAGTAAAAAATTTTGTCCGAACTTTTATTTGGAAAATTGGTATAGAGAAGGCTGTGATTTCGTCAAATTTTTGCTACCAATAAAACTTTCTTTTATTTTTATTTATTTATTTATTTTTTTTGAATTTATCTACAGAATCAACTGAACAAATGTTACTTCAGTGTGAATCAATTTTTTTGTAAGCCAGTTTCGAATAGTTTTTTTAAAAAGCAAGAAAAAAAAGAGGACAGCAGAACAGAGAGCATTATATGTGATCATAGATCAGGTTGACTTCATTAGCAGTGTTCCTTTGATAGCTGATTGTATTTTCCCACATCCCAAACATTTTTATGCTTAAAAAGATGAGTATAAAAAAGAAGAAAAGAAAATTTGAAGATAACGCCTTTTTAAAGGGATGTGAAATAAAACTACAAGTGTAAACAAAAAATTTTTTAGCACTGATGGGCTGTCATTATTGCCTCGTCTGTTAATAAATTCAATTTTATTTTTGTTCATCAATGCCCATCAACAAGCATAATTTCTTGCTTTTTTTTCTTTCTCTTCTTCTGCTTCAGAACAAAAAATATGTTACTCGGATACTGAAGACACATAGGAAAGTACATTCACCCACAACGATAGATCACAGAAAGCAAAGTTTAAAAAGCGACATTTGGCAGGTTAGTTGTTGGTGTTCCACTGTTCAGCTGATATTAATAATAGATGTTTTTTTTTTTT